GATCTCAATCGTGGGCATAGATCCCAGAAAATTCTCACGTGGGTCCATAAAAGGGCATGTGCAAGGATATTCATTGCAGATTATTTTGGGGGGGCTGCTGTTACAGAGAAGAGTCAAACCAGGTGCTCCTCATCAAGGACACACGGCGATCTGGAGTACAACTCAACAGGCCCAGCTAAAGAACTCCATCTGCATCAGGGAACCCAGCTAGATTCTCACACCATAATAACTCATGGGAAAGTATGTAAGAAAAAGAACAAAACCCAGAATACACTACCACAAGGGTAAATTTAAAAGTGCACATCAAGGAAAGGATATGGGAGACACAATATTTCAAAATAATATTTTAAGCTTATGTTTAGATTGTTGAGATCTAGACGAGGATCTATATGGGATCAAAGAGGCAAGGACAACTTGAGAGTTTCCCTGGGAAATTTAGGGGCCATAGTTATGCTACTGAGGGAGGCGCAGCTCAGAAGAGGAGGCTGAGAATGGGTGTACAAGTGATGTCATAGGACTGTCTATGTTAAGTTGGTGCATACTTTGTTATGTATATTTTCAACAATAAATAAATAAAATTAAGGGGAGGAAAAACAGGCCAAAGACAAAGAGGACTGCTATATCATGCCTCCCTCCCAGCCCTCCTGCACTATGTGACTCATGAACACTGATTCTCTGTTCTGGCTTGTCCTTGCCAAGACACATGAGCAGCGTGGGTGGAGAAATGGCCATGGCCACTCAGGGAGTCCCGGATCCTCTTGCAGATGATCAGGCACAAAAGGCAGAGTCACTGCGCTCAGTCATTGGACTGAAAACTCTCATCCAAAGTTGGACTCATCTCTGGCAACCAATGTAAATTCGAATTTAAGTCATAGTGGTGGCACAGCGGTTATGCGTTGGGCTGAGCTCCACCGGGTCAGCAATTCAAAAAACACCAGCTGTTGCTCAGGAGAAAGATGGGGCTTTCTACACTGGAAACTCACAGGGACATTTCTACCCTAACCTGTGGAAGGTGGCTACGAATTAGCAGTGAGTTGGGTTGAGTTGGGTTGGGGTTGGGTTGGGTTGGATTGGGTTTGGAGAAAAAAAAAATTACGTGGGGTGGGCATGAAAGGAAAAGGTTTGGCACAGACAAGGGAAATTTCAATCATTTCACAACATTTTATCCTGGTCTCATGCCCTTTAAACACACTCAGTATTTTCCTTTTTTTAATACAACACAGGAAGTGATTTGTCGGAACTTTAAATAAAGAAAATCAAATGCTACATTTTGATCGCTAAGATGCACGTCTTATGAGTACATTCAAAGAGCATACCAAATCGTACATTTCAGAACTCCTTATTCCCGACCAGTGAATGATACTTAAAACCAATCTAAGTGGCAGGGACTCACTGACCCTTCCCACTTGTTCCTTGTGATACAGCTCAGGGGAAAGACGTGTTTTTGATGTCCCCGCATAGGACACATTGCAATTCACTCCCAACCCAGTAGAATCCCCGCCCTGATACCTGTGGGTGGGACCTAATGTGAAGCAATCACCTTCCCTAAAATAATCTAAAGTAATGAAATCACTCTTTTGAGGCCAGACCTGTGAACAGTAGATCCAAAACTGAATCACTTCAGAATTATGGAAACACCAACCCAGACACAGACACAGCCCCACAAAGGC